CTGAAATCCAAGATGATAAAGTTGATGCTGTTGTACTTTGGTCACATCATGAGAAGGAATGGTTCATCAGAAAAGGCAATGATGCTGGGGAAGGTGGAGGGTCATAGAAAGAGAGGAGGACCACATGCCAGATGGATAGATTCAGGGAGGTCATGAGCATGAATTTGCAAGACCTGAGCAGAGCAATGGAGAACAGCATCTCATCCACAGGGTTGCCATGAGTTGAAATGGACACAAAATCAGTTAACAACAACAACAGCAACCCCATCCCAGGAGGTCCATGGAGGTGACACCATGAAATATTGCACTGGGTGACACCAATCCTAGTGATGCCACAGCTTGGCTCCCATCCCATCCTAGGAGAAAAGACGGGGCAGAAATTAAACAAACAATATTTACTATGGACAAGCTGAAGTTTGTATTTCTGCAGCCCACCTTCACCGTTCCCCGATTGCTGATGCTGCTAAAGAATATTTAGCTAGACAGAAGATAGGAGAGGGAGGCTTGGGGCCTTTGAAAGCTTTGTCAGAAGGAGCTTTACTGCCAGAGGCATTGTTAACTAATGTATGTATATAACAATATTGTAAGAGCGAAGCATGGCCTAGTGGTCTGAGCGTTGGACTACATCTCTGGAGACTAGGGTTCAAATCCCTGAAACCCACTGGGTGACTGTGATCAAGTCATATTCTCTCAGCCTCTGAACAAATCTTGCCAAGAAAATCTCATGATAGGGTTGCTTTAAGGTCGCCATAAGTTGGAAACGACTTGAAGGCACACAACACACACATAACAACATTGTGCAAACAATTGGATTCCTGCAAATGTTCCTGCTCATTGTCCCTTTGTTTCATATGCCTGAGTCTTTGAATCATAGTTATGGAAGGGCCATCTAGTTCATCCCCTTCGTGTAGAAATGTACAACTAAAGCACTCCTGAAAAATGTCCATCCAACCTCTGTTTAAAGACCTCCAAAGAAGGAAAGTCCAGCACTCTCTCCTCAAGGTACTCTGCCCCACCATTGAACAGCTCTTACAGTTAAGAAGTGGCATGCCATAGGCACTGATGGATGAGCAACTCCATCTAAACCAGTTATATATCTGCAGAACTCCACTTACACAGTTGTGAACTGAATATAAACATTACATTTATGGCCAAAAAAACACAAAAAAAAACAACCAACTGCATGCATCAAAGACCTTATGTGTGCATAAAATGCCAACAGGATTCTAGCTAAGAGACATAGAAGCTTCTTGGTGCTGTGGCACGAACTATGAAGAGAAAAACACTCCTGGGGCTCATTCCCACTATGATTTATATCTATTTGCTGATCACTTTAAATGTGCCTCGTCCCCATTTGAAACAGTTTCGGATGCAACTGCGATCGTTTGGATTTGCTTTGAAGCGAATAAAATAATAATAATAAAATTGCTCTTTTCAGACACTGTTTTTTTCCTGGTCCTTTTGAAAAGAAGCGATTAGCAAATGTGTTCAGCAAGTGGGAACCATGGGCCTGAGTCCCATCAAACTAATGGCAGAGGGATGGCACATCCCTCACCAGTTTTGGGGGAAAGCTGCCATTTCCCCCCATCTCAGCACTGCCTTTGTGTTTTGTGGTGTGACCTATGGGCACACACATACACACACACACACACATATTGACAATATATGCACACCATTGGATTTGCAATTATTTTCTGGCAGCAAGCCAGGTGAGCGTACCAACTGCGGCTCAGCAGGAAAAGTAATTGCAAAAACAATGGAGTGTATACGGAGAGTAGTGGAGTCTCCTTCCTTGGAGGTCTTTAAGCAGAGGCTGGATGGCCATCTGTTGGGGATGCTTTGATTGGGAGTTCCTGCATGGCAGGGGGTTGGACTGGATGGCCCTTGTGGTCTCTTCCAACTCTATGATTCTATGATTCTATATACTGTAAATTTTTTTAAAAATTGCATGCATCCCAGGGGAGAGTCCTCCATGGTGCCCCTGGATGCATGCATCCCAGGGGAAAATTCTGGCACCCATGACTCTCGCCTGTGTTTTCTTGAATGTGTTGCAGGTTGCATCACCGATGACGTATAGAGGATTGACAGGCATTTTGAGGGGGCACAAACTAGTGGAAATGACAATCATGCCAAAAAAGAAGCAAATAAAGAAAAGACCTGCTTACATAGTGGGAATGATGCATCAGCAGGAATCGATTCACTGACCGGGAGCGAAAGCAAATTGCAAACCGAGTTAAATGTAAGTGGGAATGAGCCCCTGGAAAGAGGAGGACTTTTGCATACTAACTGTCCCAATTTGGCAGGGACAGTTTTGATTAATCCTCTGTCTTCCCATTTTTTCAGCTGCTTATAAAATGCCCCGGTTTCTCTCTCCTCCTTCCACTTTTTGCCTTGGCCTTTAGCTTACTTCAACTGCAGCAAAATGAACACAAAAGTAGTTTGCATTCAATGAATTTAGTAGCAGGGCCAGAATCTTGCACAGCTTGTCTGTTCTTCCTCATTAATAATGCTTGCTGTCTTGACTACACTCTGATGTTACTTGGCCACAAGTGTCCTGGTTATTATCTGTGAAATGTTGAAAGCTATGCTTTTCCCGATTGTCGCTCTCCCCAGGCCCAATTTTTGAGTGAAAAGGCAGGCAGTCACCAGGACACATTCTAAAATATTCTAAATCTGATCTTTTGTGCAGGTGCCTAGATGAGAAAGAACAATGCTTTAATTTATAGAGGAAAAATTATATTACTTTGTTGCAAAATGCAGCAAACCTAAATCTGAGACGCTCCAAATTGGGCCTGAAAGGGAAATTTGCACCCCTGGATTTGGAGCTGTTCCACAGCACCATCCACTTTAACCTGATATTTCTTTCCATGGCACATTTTGCTGGAATTACTCTTTTGTCCTGTAGCCCATTGCATCAGATAATGCATCCCCCCAAAAGATTATACAGCTAGCAGCAAAATTGCTTGCTTTCAGCATCCCTGAGGGATTTTGCAGCTCCTTCTTCCCCAGCTCCCTTCCCCCAAATCCTTGGATGATCCATAACCCAGGAGAGAAAACAGATGTCCAGATGGAATGTGCATCCATGGAAGAGACCCTCCTGGTCCCATAAGCAGATCTTCCATTGGGAAAGGCAATCCATGGGTATTTTCCAGAACCACTCCTAATTTCCCATGCCCAAATGACGCTGTAGCTTTAGGTGGCGAATCCTGAAGGCAAAGGCAAGGTATGGAAGAGACACACCTGGGATCCTGCAGAATATTACGGAACGTACTGGCTACCAGTTGACACCAGCAGAACATGACCCTCCACTTTGCATTCTCCAGCAACTAATATACAGAGACCTATTCCCTCTGGAATATATATATAATATACAGAGACCTATTCCCTCTGGAAGGGTTATATGGATGTCCTAACCAGTGGCATCACTAGGGTTGGCGTCACTCTGTGCAGTGACTCATAGTGGCACACACACACACCGTTGACCTCCTCCAATACTGCACCATACAAAATCCTTAGTCACGTTTTTTGTACGAATGTGACTCATTACGGTAATCCTGATTCCTGTATATCACTGAATGCAATGGTTGGAACATAGAATAATAGAATCACAGAGTTGGAAGAGACCACAAGAGCCATCCAGGCCAACCTCCTGCCATGCAGGAACTCATAGTTGAAGCACCCCCAACAGATGGCCATCCAGCCTCTGTTTAAAAACCTCCAAAGAAGGAGACTCCACCAGACTCCAAGGGAACGCCTTCAAATGTTGGATAGCTCTTACTGTCAGGAAGTTCCTCCTAATGTTGAGGTGGATCTCTTTTCGGGCAGTTTGCATCCATGGCTCCATTGTGTCCTGTTCTCTGGAGCAGCAGAAAACAAGCTTGCTCCATTTTCAATATAACATCCCTTCAAATATTTAAAGAGGGCTATCATATCACCT